TGCGCTCCTCTAGATGCCTGCGCCCGATCCTACGCGGGCTGGCGCAGGGAGGAGGAGGAAGCCATGTGCGCGCAGGAGAGCAGCCCTTTTCATGGGGAGGTCGGGGGAGGGATGATTTCCCCCCCCTCCAATCATCCTCTCTGCCAAGATCCGGGGGGGTCTCTGAGCCGGAGCCGCCGCATGATGGGCGTTGGAGTGATTTAGGGGGTGGGGGCGGTTGGGTGTGGATGGCTTCTGAATGAGGGGATCAAAATGGGCCAGAGGTGGGGGGGGGAAGAGAGAGAGAGAGCTTGGCTGCCTGGGGTTTGGAGCAGATCAGCTGGTTCTTATGTGTTTTAATTCTTTATTTAAAATAGGTTTCCCGCCCACCCCAAGCTTTATGCTTATAAGGACCCAAACTTGCAAAGGAGGGGATGATGGTGTCCCTCCACAGGTGGCCCAAGATGGGACTTTAATGCCCGGAAGGGTTTTGGAAAGGACAGGTTCTCCCTGAGCTGGAGGATGATAATAGACCAGTGGTTCCCTGTGAGCTTAATAATAATATAAGTAGACCAATAGTTCTGCATCATCTAAATCAGTGGTTCTTAATCTTTGGTAACCCAGGTGTTCTTGGACTGCAAATCCCAGAAGCCGCAACCAGCACAGTGGGTTGAGAAGGCTTCTGGGAATTGCAGTTCAAGAAGACCTGGGTTGCCCAAGGTTAAGAATCTCTGATCTAAATAATAAAAAGAACAGACCATCACGAGATGGGTAATGATCATCATCTTAGAACTGCAGAACTTGGAAGGGTAAAAGACATTTCTAGCTGCTGAAGGAATAAGTTTGCACCTTCTTGGTCGCAAGGAGGGGGGGATTGGACTTCAGGGCGCTTTCTCCTGGGCCTGACCTTTTTTCCTTTTTCTTTCCCCTTCCCTGCTCATCCCTGCAGCTGGCGAAAGATCTCCTGCATCCCTCCCCCGAGGAGGAGAAGCGGAAACATAAGAAGAAGCGCCTGGTCCAGAGTCCCAACTCTTACTTCATGGATGTGAAGTGCCCAGGTAGGAGGAGAGGCTTTGCCCGAGGCCTTTTGTGCAGCGAAAGAGGGAGGTTGGCCTCCTTTCGCTCCAGGATCTTCCAAGGATGGAGAACTAAATGAATCGATTTAGTTGTGTTTGCTAAATGGCTGTATATTTACACTCTGCCGTCAGTATCGTCCATGGCTGGTTAAATTGTTGGAAACCTTTGGTGGGGGGGAAGGGGAGCGAAGATCTTGCCTGTTTTACATTTGCTCAGCAACTTGTTTTGTGTTTGGGATGCAGAAAGAGCCGTTAATGTGCTGGCTGCATGTCATGATCAGACAGGAAGCAGTGAAAGGCAGTGCCTTCGTGGTTGATGGTACATTAATCCCCCTTTCCCTGTTTTTAACTGTGCCACGTCTTGTTTTAACGGGGTTAGTTCTGTGCCTTCAAGAGTTTTATTGTGTGGCTCTCTTAAATTACTGTGGGTGAGCCAGTGGTCCCTGTTTACAACCGGCGCAAACCCAGACTGTAGAACGGACGAGGTACAGAAAGCAAATTGAGTGGGGGAAAAGTTTTAGCAAATGCCCGTTACGCCTTCACTTGGGTCAATTTTGCTCATTGGCGATTTCACAGCTCCTCTTTCCTTCCTTGTACCCAACTGCTGGCTTTCTTTCTCTCCTGCCCAGGTTGCTACAAAATCACCACGGTCTTCAGTCATGCCCAGACAGTGTTTCTCTGCGTCGGTTGCTCCACCGTGCTGTGTCAGCCCACTGGCGGAAAAGCAAGGTTGACAGAAGGTAAGAGGGTCTCCTGAGCCGTTTCTCAAAACCATGCCCTTTGCTTCTCCTCTCTTGCGTTGCAATGATGGGAAAAGATTTCCTTGCAGTTAACGTTTTGCCTAACAGCCTTTTCAGGCAGAGGGGCCGACCTCTGGCTTGATTTTATGCTTGCTAGATGTCAGATTTAGGTGGGAATAACTGCTTTGGTTTGGGTAGTGTAACTTTCTTTTTGGTGCTGCTGCTTCAGGTGGGCCAAAGTAAACTCTGCTCGCCGAGCTGTTCTTACCAGCTGACAGGGCCGGCATGAAGGAGCTGTTACCTTCTACGCACAAGCAGACTTTGCACAAGGAGGTGTGTGTGGCGCTGTGGACTTTCCTCCGGCCTACTTTTAATATTTGGTTACTTCCTCTTGGCAGGATGCTCCTTCAGGCGAAAGCAGCACTAAATGAAGCGGATTCCCGTCCGGGATGGGTGGGGCTACTTGCGCAGTCCGACGCCGACGCCCCCAAGGGCGCAGACTTGAGCGGGACAGAAGTGGAACGGCGAGCGGGAACGGTGGTGGCTGTGGAGCGGGGCAGCTGTCGCTGCGCCTGCCGAATAGGAGTGTGGTTTCCGAACTGTCCTTGTAGCCTCACCCATTTTTGACCCAATAAATTTTGGATATAAAGACAACCTGTTTTTTTCCCCTGTGTTTACTGACTCCAGAAATTGCTGGTGACTTTGCAGCCGGGCCGTCTGGGCTATTTCGTGGCCTGAGGTTGCTGCGCGATTCAAGCACAGCTGCATTCCCTTCCCGCCCCCCAGTGATACTGTGGTTTCATCAACTCAGTCCTGGAATGGATATTGCAAGGTTTAGGGCTTAGTGCGTCCCTAACAAAACCATCTCTTGAGCATTTTGTCTGCAGGAGGACCTGGGAGGTTAGGGTTCAGCCCAAATTATCTGCAAGCGGTGCTATGCAGCCCCCCAACTCTTAGTCTCTCTCCTTCCCCCCTCCCCCAATTAAAGAGGACACTTGCCAGAGGTTTTTTCCAGTTTACTCAGGCCGTACAGGTGTAGGTCATGTGTCCTCCACTGGGCGCCCTTTTTACCTTCTGACACTCCACAGCCAGGCCTCGGTTCTGTTCCTTAAGGTGGGGTAATGCTGCTGCTGAGCACTCAGAGGAGAGAGTTGGTAGCCTGCAAAATTTAAAAGCAGAAGTGAAAATGGCCAAACTCCACGAATGCCATTCAGATGTTGGGGGGGGTTGTCCTTGTGGGTTGTGCCAAGAGCTGACGGACGGTGTGCAGAGGTGACTCACCTGTCTGCGCGGTGCCTGGTGTAGACATGCGAACACGGGGGCCGGTAGTCGTTGGTTTGGAGCTGAATGCCTCGCAGGCTGTAAACATAACCACAGCGTTAGGGTTAATTCCACCCTCGCCCCTTCTCGGCTCCTGGGAGCACAAACAAGTATCTGTTAAAAATCACTTGGCTTGCTCGTTGGCTTGATGGCCTTTGTGTTTTTACCCTAAAGCAAAGTGAGCCTGAGGTCGAGAGAGAGAGACACACACACACCCCGGGCCTTTTTCCTTTACTCTGGCCCACCGCGAGGACAGCGGGAGAAAGGAGAAGTCAAAAGCAAGCCAGATTTCCCCAGCTGGGTCTCCTCAAGTGTTCTGGCTGCAGCCCTTGGAACGACAGACTGGTACGGCAGAGCAGGGCCCGTCACCGGTGCCCATGGCTGACGCAAAGGGAGCCTGAGGTCGAGAGACACCCCCTACCCCCCCGGGCCTTTTTCCTTTACTCTGGCCCACCGCGAGGACAGCGGGAGAAAGGAGAAGTCAAAAGCAAGCCAGATTTCCCCAGCTGGGTCTCCTCAAGTGTTCTGGCTGCAGCCCTTGGAACGACAGACTGGTACGGCAGAGCAGGGCCCGTCACCGGTGCCCATGGCTGAGAGGGACAGACGTTGACGCTTGACCTTCTGAAAAACCCGTTTTCATCGAAAGAGAACCCCCTGCCTTCACCGGTGTGGATGGCGATGTTACTTACTGAGATACACGACGGAGGCGACGGCCAGGATGACGAAGAGGACGAAAAGGAGGACCGGGTAGGAGCCTAGCAGGTGCCTAATGAGGCTGATGTCCGTACACTGGTCTGGAGAAATTGCACCGAGAAACAGTATGGTTACTGAAAGAGCCTGGGAAAGAGGGTTTTTAATCATCCTCCTCTTAAGAACTGCAGGACTGGAAGGGATCGGTCCTCGAGTCCAGCTCCTGCCAGGGACAGACAGCGGGGGAATCGAACTCCCAAACAGATCCCTAAACCCCTGAGCTATCGAGCAGTTGGGGGTAGAGGGGAACAACCAGTGGTGGGATTCAGCAGGTTCGCACCAGTTCTACAGAACGGGTAGCTAATGTATTATTGGTTCTGCAGAACCTTTCGTTGGTCTGCTGAATCCCACCACTGATCCTGGCCAGTGGTGGGATTCAGCAGGTTTGCACCAGTTCTACAGAACCGGTAGCTAATGTATTATTGATTCTGCAGAACCGTTTGTTGGCCTGCTGAGGGGGTAGAGGGGAACGACGTTTTCCCAGCATCCCCCAGCCAGGATTTGGGGTGTTGCCGTTCAAGACAGGAGCTTTCCCTGGTTCTCTTTGGATGCCGACAACGTTTTCCCAGCATCCGCCAGCCAGGATTTGGGGTGTTGCCGTTCGAGACAGGAGCTTTCCCTGGTTCTCTTTGGATGCCGAGGAAGAAGACCCTGCCGAGGGATTTCCCTTTTTTGCTTACCGAAGGCAAACCTCTCTCGCAAAGCGCGCACAAGGACGGCGGCCCTCTGGCCGGTGAGCGCGCAGGAGAAGTTGACAAAAGCGGGTGCCGCCATCTGGTGGAGAGAGGTCAGGTTCACCACCCGGAGCCGGTAGAGGACAAGTCCAGGCATGTCCGGCAGAGGCAAGGGCGGTTCGAGCTGTATTGCCGGGGAGCTGGGCCGGGCCTTGGCACACGGGGAAAAAGAGAAAACAACGTATCAGAAAGGAAGGCAGCGATAAGCTTGGTCAATTTGCTCAGCTGTGCCACGAGGACCAAAAGCAACCCCTGGAAGCTGCCCCTGAGTCAGTCCATCTCGTGTTTTCGGTCTTCCTCTTTCCCTACTGCTTTGCACATTTTTTTCCTAGCTGATCTGTTTTATATTTCAAACTCTTATGACGGGACAGAACAAGATGAGATTCCCCAGGTCACACTAAAATATGGTAGGCAAAATCGAAAGGAAAATGTGTGGCGCTTGAAAGACCATTAGGTTTTAATGTGAGCTTTCATGGATCATGTCCCACTTCTTCAGATACATGGAAGAAAATGAGACACGGAATGAAATGCAGGGCCCACAAGTAAAAACATTCATATTTCGTACACTGGGAACTGATGTTGCTGTACATTGTGGGCACACCTCTCTTCCCATCAAGGAACGCAACAGTCTCCCCCCCCTCCCCGATCACACCAAATCCCATCATTTTTGACTCTGGAATCCCTTGTTCCTTTGATAACCGCTTCTGTTGCATTTCTACAGGCAAAGTTGCCTCCGGAGCATGTCAGAAGATTCCTCCGACTCAAAACGTTTTATGTGCTGAGGATGGAGCAGGAGAGCCTCTAGCCAAGCTGCTCCCCTCCACCGAGCTGGTGGAACCTGAATCCAGTTTTGCCTGGACTGTAAAAGGAGGACGTGTTTGTTTTGAGCAAGGTGGGGGGGGGGAGAGCACAACCCCTTTATAAGCCTATTTAACAGGAACCGGAAAGGGCAAATAGAAAACAAGAAGCTCATGACCAAAAAACTGATCATTAAACAATAAAACAGAATCTGAAGTACAGCATGCAGGGGATCGCGTTTCCACCACGAGCGCTTGGCCGAGCTTTTTAACTTACGTCTATGCTTTCCGTCACTCTTCGTGACCCCAGCACCAAGATCTCGCCGCTCAGCTGCTGGCTGCTGAAGAAGACTTCGGACTGGTTGAGGTAGAAAGCAGGCCAGAAGGGGACGGACAGCTTCTGGGACCCGGCTGGGCCCCGATCGCCGAGGAACGAGGCCGTCACGGACGCCAAGCCCTCGGCGGTGCTCAGAGCCAGGAGGTCGTCTGGAGACTGGGACCTCACCGTGATCAGGCAGGCGTAGAGACCTTGGTGGGAGCGAAGGAAAACCCCGTCAGACTCCCCAGGAGGAGGCCCAGCAGGGAATGCTCTCAAAACCCCGGAGGTGATGGTGGGGGAAATGCCGGCTGGCCTTTGGAATACTTCGGATTTTGGATCCGGCAGGCAGCAATGGTCCACGGTCGGGGTTATGGGATTTGCTTTAATGGGATTGCCGTCCTGGTTTCTCTAATAAGGGATGAAATGCCACAGGCAGGCCTGCGTCCCACAAGGAACTAAGACAGCGGATGGGGGTCTTACAAAGCAGGAAGCCTCCAGTTCACATTCTGGCTCTTGAGATGCAACTTAGAATCGCAGAATGATGGAGCGGGAAGGGACCTCGAAGGCCATCAAGTCCAACCCCCGCCCAAGGCAGGAATCCGAACCAAAGCCAATTGGACAAGTGGTTCGGCTTTCTCCTTCCCACCCTCTTCACTGACACAAACAACGGCCCACCTTTGTCAGCGTAGAAGGCGGGCTGGGTATGGAAGATCTTTTCGGCGGGGATGTCGGTCACCGTCTCGCTGAAGTCCACTTGGCAAACCAGGTGCGATTGTGGGAAGAGGAGATCTCTCAGCGCCTGGAGCTGCGCAGAACTGCAAGGGCCTGCAAAAGAGGGGGAGATATGATCCAGTATGGCCTATTTTCGGGAGAGACGGGTTCAAGAAGCTCCCGGGGAGGGTTCTCTCTTCTCTCAGCCATCTATTCCCCCTGCCAGGAAACCAGAATGACAGGAGGAGGTAGGGGCCAAGTGGCCATCTGAAACTGAGAAACAGAAGGGGGGCAGTTCTATCTTTGCTCCCCTGTGTTAGCCTCTTAATTCATCTAAGGTGGGCAGAAAATTATTTAGCCTGGATGCCTGGCCCCTTCCCACATGTAGCCGCAGGGAGGAAAAAAGGCAAGGGCAAGAGCAGCTACAATAATCTTCGAATGGCCGGGCTGGAAGGGGTCCTAGAGATATCCAGTCCAGCCCAGGGGGGGATTTGAACTCCCAACCTTTGGCTGTGTAGCCGCAGGGAGGAAAAAAGCAAAGGGCAGGAGCGGCTACAATAACCTTTGAATGGCTGGGCTGGAAGGGGCCTCTAGTGATCATCCAGTCCAGCCCCTGGCAGGGAGGCCCCTGGAAAGGGGGGTGGAATCTGAACTCCCAACCCCTGGCTCCACAACCCAAGACCTGAACCACGGAGCTATCCAGCAGCCTGCAACTTCTTCAAGTACCTCGAAGGGTCGTCGTACTGCCGGTGGCAACGAAAACCCTGAATTCGGAGGCGTCCGGATTGTTGGTGAGGTAGTTTCTGGAGCCGAGTTGAAGGCTCGGCCCTGAGGAGCCGCCGATGGCAACCTGGAAAGGACACGGCAGTGGGGTGGTGGGGGTGGCTTTGCCTCTTAGGAAGAACAGCCGCCCTTGAAGCCTAAGGAATCGCCAGCTCGAATGGCATCCAGGGTTTTACTCCCCCCCACCCCACTCCCCCCTGTTTATCTCTCATCCAAAAGCAGAGGAGGTGGAGAAGAGGGTCCCAGGGGTGGGTGACGGGTAACTGGGCTTTAGATGCCCTCGTTCTTCCTGCAGGTCTACGACGGGAAGACCCCCCTCTTGCTCAAAAAAGGGTCCGCTTCAGAGCCGAGGGGGGTCCAGCACCATCCAAAGTCCACCGATTGATTCCCCCTCAAGCCCTGCCCGGAGGACGGACCGTCGCGATTCACCCAACGGAGCCTTGATGGGTGCAGCGGGCCCCTCCTCGCAGCGCCACCCGCACGGAGTCCTACCTCCCGGTAAGTTTTCCCGATCCCTGGGATCTCGTAGAAGATGGTGGGCTTCCCGGCGCTCTTTGCAAACGAGGCTCCGCTGACGGTGTCCATCTCCAGGACGTCCCCAGGCACCACCTGCCATGTCCCAGATTTTCCTTAAAAAACAAACAAACCCAAAAATTCCCCCTGGCCTTTCTCCTGTTTGCCAAGATTTTAGAAAGAAGCACGCATTGTGATGGGTGCGATCCTCCCGTTGCTGTTGTGCAATTCAAGTCCCACGCTTCGGACAGCTGGCCCAGGGGACTCTGGATGTACCATTCCTGGGCATCCTAGTGGCTGACCGTGCAGAATATAAATCTTATTAATCAATGAAAACAATAAACAACAAGGTAACAACCCTAAAATGCATATTATGGGCGCTCAGGTCAGTTCCAATCGATGGCGGCCCTAGCAGTGTGCCCAAGGCTTTACCAGCACCCCCAAATGAGATTCCGTGGCTGGACACAGATTTGAACCCAGGTCTCCTCAGCCAGCATGCTATCCAAGCACACCACACGCTGGCTCCCAAGGACCACAAACAGGAAGGAAACAGAACTGCACGCGGCTCACAGCGCAGCTGGGATCTGAACGACGTCCGGCGCCCGTTTACGCTGGCGCTCCGGGGTGCAGGTGAGGCCGAGTGACCTCCATTTCTCTTCATTTCAGTGGCATCGAGACAGGTTCCAGAGAACAACGGCATAGCTTTCCCAGGACCTCCCCTTTGTTTGTCTCTTGGCATAGACGTTGTTTTCATCGCATCCCTTTGACCCCCTGCCAGCTCCTTCCTGCCCGCATTAAAAAGCGCTCCCTCTTCTTTTCCCCTAAGAAAGGCTTCCGAGCGGAAGAGGGATTTTAGGCTGCCCGGGATACGGAACCATACTTGGGCTTCCTTTAACAGAGAAAGGAGACGATTCTTGTCTGTAAACCCCAGAAGAACACAGCCGACCCTTCTTCTTCGTTTCAAATCGCCTCCCCTTCATTCATTCAGCCGGGGCCATTTCAAGGGTCACCACCTGGGTGTCGGGAACAGCTTGGCTGGAAGGAACGCCTGGCTTGCCAGCAGGTGCTCCTTGAGTGACTCTTTTATCCCCAAAATACCCCAAAACACAGATCTGTAGGTCTGTGTTAAGGATGTGGCAGCCAACGAACCAGACAACACCCCCCCCCAAATGCCCCATTCTGTATCCTTCAACAGCAGCGGTCAAGATCACGGTGGTTTGGAGAGGGAAGGACTCCCTACCAAAGATGTGGATGCAAAAGCTTGCCAACATCCCTGCTTAGTGGGGGGATGTGGGGCGGAAATGAGGGTGGTGGGGAAATAGAGTGGTGTCTCGCTAGACGATGATAATCCGTTCCACTGAAATCGCTGTTTAGCGAAATCATTGCCTAGCAAAAAGCATTTCCCCATTGGAATGCGTTGAAACCTGTTTAATGCGCTCCAATGGGGAAGAATCGTCGTTGTCTAGCGAAGATCGGCCATAGGAAAGCCGCTTTGCGAACCGCCGATCTGCTGTTTAGATCGCTGTCTTGCGAAGCTTAGGTCCCGAAAACACCTGTTTTGCGAGCACGGAGGGAGCTGTCAAAATCGTCTAGCGAAAATCGGTTTGCGAAGCAGGGACCAAACATTGTCCAGCGAAATTCCCCCATAGGAATCACTGTTTTGCGAATCGCTATAGCGATCGCAAAAAGTCAATGTCTAGCGAAAAAACTGTCATGCAGGGTAACTGTCTAGTGAGGCACCACTACAATGGTTGCTTCGGAGTCAAGGCGGAGTCGGGTCGAGCTTGCCTCTGGAACGGGTTCGAGGGAGATGGAGGGGCGGGTGGGGCTCGGAAGCCGGTTCTCTGACCTTCTGGGCTAACGAGGGGAGCGCTGAAACACACCACGTCCCCCACGGCGAGCGGCTCAGACAGGTTTGGCCCTATGGCGTGCTCCACCGGGACCGGGATGTAATCGGCCATGCCGGGGTGTCTCTCGTCCCAGACGCCGACCAGGGTGACGCCCCGGTTCACGGCCTGGGCGGCGTACGTGTGGTTTCTGCCGCTGGGTTGAATGAGCAGCAGGTCATCTCTGGAAAACAGACAAGAAAAGAGAAAATGGATCCTGTGTCAAGAGGGGTACATTCCTCTTTCACAAACCGGTCTCTTTGGAAAGAAACGGGCATTATAGACAGCCCCTCATTAGCCTTGGCTCCTTAAGGGCTGGGTGTGTGTGTGAGTGTCACAGAAGGATCTCTCATCTCGATGATTCTCTCTGAGTTCGCTTTTCATAGCTGGTCTTCAGCGGGAGATTCCTCTGACGCCCAGACTCTTGAACACAAAACCTTGACGAAGCCCCGTCTGCCCCAACTCTCTAACGAGAGGCTCTCCATAATGTCTCTTTCCACCAAGTCACGTGGTCTGGGACGCCCAGGCCTGGGAAGCCGTGCCTGGACCGGCGCTTGGGGGCGACCCAGAAGCGTCCCCGGCTCTCCCCCTCGGGCAGGGAAGGGCACTCAGACAGAATCTCACGGCCGCCACTCCGGACGCGGGACTTCCCGGGAGGCGCACCTGTTCAACGCCAGGGACAGCTGCGTGCTCTGCGCTTGAAACTTCTCCCCGGTGCTGTCGTGAAACTGGACGCTGAGCGTGAAGGCCATGCCCAAGGGAAAGGCCGGAAGGGGCCCCTTGCCGGCCGTGTAGAGCTTGGGAGAGGCGCTCAGGCGCAGGTAAGAGACGGGGGCCACCTGGAGGAGAGAGAGAGGAAGGGGTTACGTGGTTTCCCTTTTCTATCCCTCCACCCTGCTCGGTGGAGCGATCGCAGCTGCCTCTGGTGTGGGCCCAGAGACTCTGGAACTCCCTGCCACTGGAAAACAGGCTGGCCCCCTCTTGGCTGTCCTACTGCAAGCAAGCAAGGATCTCGCTTGTTCAGCCAGGCTTTCCCAGTGTTGGTGATTTTTTTTTAATGGATGGTTGTGCCTTTTTGCTTTTAAATGCCCTTTTGCTGTTCCTTTTGTTCATCTTTTTTAAGTTTTTAAGGCTTCTGTTTATCTTTTGTGGCATTTGTTTGATCCTTTTTAGCCTGCATTGACTTTTACTGTTCTTAGCTTTAAATACTTAAATACCCGCCTTTGTATACTCACTGCATTTAGCTTTAAATATTGTCTTTTTAATGATGCCAGCCGGGCAGGAATATTTTAAATAAAAATCAGTTTAAAAAAAAAACAGTCATTCCCCCCCCCCCATTAGGCAGGGGGGTCACCAGGAGAGCTAATAGCTACTGCGCTCCATGAATGGGTCGGTCTCGAGCAGTTACGGCTCTGGGAATCCTCTTGTACCACAACTCCCATAAGCTGTTGCCATGATTGTCAAGGGACGATGGGAGGGGTGGTCCCCCCGACATCCAGCAAGCCACGGGGTCTCCAGCCCGGCTGCCTCGGGGCCACGCTCTGCAGTCTCCACAAGACGCCCAGCGGGCACCTCCTCCTTCGGGTGGCCCTCACCACCTCCAGCCACGCCACCTCACCTGCACGCCGGTGATGACCGTCTGGTTGACGCCGAACGGTTCTAAGGAGGTGACTTCCAGGACGGCGTGACCGGTGACGGCGCCCGCCTGGAGGAGGCCCCGACCGCTCGCCTCGAGGACGGAAGAGTTCGGGTCGCACCGCAGGATCCGGGTGCTCACGTCGGCAGCCCCGTCTCTAGGTGAAGGAAAGGAGGAGGGGGGGTGGGTGCCCTTTGCCAGGACCAGATGGGCTGGGACGAGGTCCGTTAGGGCAACGGCCTCCGGTGGGCCTCGTAACGCCGAAGGGGAGGAGGCTGTTTCGGAAGAAGCTGCTTCTTCAGGGGGAACCAGAAGCGCCACTTCCTCGCACTCGGACTGCGCCATCCCATGAGCGCATCCCGCCCTGCCCCATACCTGTTTGTCCGTAACTTGAGCTGGGAGTTTGTGGACATCAGGATCTGCTCCGCCGGGCGCTCGGGGGAGAGGAGTCGGAGCTTCTCAAACACCTGCAAGGACAGAGGGAGGAGGGAGGGAAGGGCGAGCCGCTTGCCAACGCCGACGGCTCCCGGCCCAAGAGGCTGGGGAGAGCCAAGGGGACCCCTGAGCTGCCCCTGGTCATGCTATCGGGGGGGGGGGATTATGGGAGTTGCAGTCAGTATCTTTTCCAGGATTCCTTCCTGAGCCTGTCCCAGCTGGAGGTGGAAGCTGGGATGGTTTTTCTCCCCAGTAAAAAAGGTGTCCCCAAGCCCCTCGGGGACAGAGCGAGGCAGGATGCGGTGGGAGAAGAGGCGCACCCGCCCTCGAGGAAACCTGCCGGGACAACTGCGAGGCGGGCTCGGTCTGGGCCCCGTGTACAGTCCTCGAATGGACAGGAAGGGGCGACCTTATGGCAGATACACAGGTAGGTCTAGGGGTGAGCCAGGGAATCCGTTAGGCCCATGGGAGGAAATGAATGCCACTGTTTCACAGGAAGCTAGACTGAGGTCACAGGGTGCCTCGTGCCAACCGGTCTCAGCACAGCGGGTGGAACGTCCACTTCGGGAGGGAGAGAGGCTTACTAAGATGTGCACTTCATCCGAAAGTTCAGGGAGAGGGCCTTCGAACTGCCCGGCGCCCGGGTCCAAAATCCGCACCGTCGCTCGGATGCTCGTCCTCCCTGCCGCCCTGGTGCGCAAGACCATTGCGAAGCATCTCTCTGGAGCCAGCTGCAGGGAAACCTGGCGGAGAAGGGCGAGGAAGGGGACTCTTATCTGACGATCGCCTTTCTCTCTCTCTCCTCTGAAGCCCTGAGCGCTTGGCAAGGTCTCCAGGCAGATTTTTTTTTGTCTCCAACAGTTTACATTTCAGGCCATTTTGAAGTCTCCTCTTAAGGATCTCTGCCTGTTAAAAGGGCCATTAAAACTGGGGACGTGCCTTCAAACTTAGCACCGCAGACCCTTAAAGCCCATAATATTTCATCCTCTGTGCACGTTAATCTTTCCTGCCAGCGACGGACCATAGAATCATGGAGTTAGAAGGGGCCTATAGAAGGTCATCAAGTCTAACCCCCTGCTCAGAGCATCATCTTTGAAGGACAGAGCTAGAAAGGACCTTCTGGATCATCCAGTCCCATCCCTGTCAAGGAGGCTGAGTGGGAGGGATTCAAATTCCCAACCTCTGGCCCCACAGCCAGAAATCTAAACCGCCACGCTGTCCAGCAGTTCCCACTTAAGGTATCTCTGATAGAGGGTGGTTCATTTTTTTTCTTTTGAAGGCCTCCAGTGTTGGGAGCGCTCACAGTATCTCTGATAGAGGGAGGTTCATTTTTTTCTTTTGAAGGCCTCCAGCGTTGGGAGCGCTCACCGCCCGCTCCCGAGGTCTCGGCTTCTGTTGCTGTACTGCTCTAACAGTCGAGATGTTTTTCCTGTTAAGCTCTGGTGACTCATGTGTAAGGCTTACAACTCCCCACCCTTGATCCACCGACACCCTGTTCCCAGCAAGCCGCTGCGGGTAGCCAATCCGCACAACCTGACCATGCCCACATCGCAAAGGGGAGGATGTGAGTTTCCGTCCCAAAACAGAACCCCCTCCTATCCCAGCTCAGCCCGCAGTGCAGGGTGTCCCATTTCCTACGGGATTTTTCAACTCAGTGGCTTCATGCAGGAGCCTGCCTTTGGAACTGCATTTGGTTGAAAGAGAAGGGGGGGCTCAGCATCAAAAGGGAAGACGGGGGACCCTGTGCTTTACCTCTGAGTGTCTGGGAACGAGGTCCAGGACGTCCCTTTTGGTCACTGCCCAGTGGAAGGTCAGCCCCGGGTGGGCGTTCCCAAAGGAGAAGGGAGTCAGAGCGCTGGTCAGTCCGATGACATAAACCGGCATCTGCAAAGAAAAGGGGCTTGACTCAAATCCGCATCCTGTTCTGATCCGGCCGTGGGGCTCAGCGCTTCCTGGCCTTGTGACACAGAGACAGGCGGTTCGGTTAAAGGGAAACCCCGCCTGGATTCTCTGATGGAGGAGTTTCCCAATCAACAGGGTGGCCATGTCCAAACAGAGCGTGCATGATACACTGGGTTTCGGAAGAAGGATTTTTAGGGGGAGAAGACGGGATCTAACCTCAGTGCCGGTTATAAGGCGGGTGGCGGGGGCATAAATTCGTATTGCTCTCAGCTGGACAACTTCCAGGTCCACTTGATCCTGAGGAAGAAAACGGGGGAAACTTGAGGGCATGGTTTGAATTGCACAGATGATTCAGCTGAGAGTTGTTGTAAGCGGTGTGTGTGTGTGGAATGACCCCTTTTCCTTGTCTGGGGTGGTGCAGAAATTCGAACAGCACAAGCAATTGAAGGTGGCAGGACCAGGGGAAGCAATTCAAGGTGGCAGGACTAAGGGAAGCAATTCAAGGTGGCAGGACCAGGGGAAGGAACATGGGTCTCCGACAGCCATGGTTGGGACAAGAGGAAGTACCTGCGAAAAGACTATGACTTTTCCCGTGTCTTCATTGACGGCTCGGATGGTGCCCAGGATGGTGGCCGTGCCCACGGCCTTAGCGGTCACCTGCCCCAGTCCGTTCACCACGGCCACAGTCTGGTTACTGATGGAGAAGTGAATGAGGGACTGAGGCTGAGGGCCGCCCTCGGACATCACCTGCCGTTTGAAGGGAAAAAGAGAGGGAAGAGCTGATTTGCTTCCTTGTGGAGGTAGAGGACAGAAGGGGTTGGATCCAGACAACCTCCTGGGGATAGGAACAATTCCTGCATAGACGCTGCTTCTATCAGAGAGAGCGTCCACCGTAAGTTCCTTCCCCAGTTGAGATAAGCTTTACCAGCCGAACGATGAAATATGCAAAATCAAGAGTTTGCTAATGAATTAACAGCCGAATTAAAGGAATCATTAGGCTCCCTACCACCAGCAGCTTAAA